TTTTTTCAACTACTCGTCATTTTCCTCCAATTTTGAAATCGAAATTCTGTTGTCAAGAGACTAAAGCACTCACTTACCAATTTTAACAAAGCAATTCAACGTAATAAAGGCGTCGTTTTTTCCGAGAGAAAATATCGCATTCGAGTGCCGTTTCGGTATCAGTATCGAATGCGATGTTTTCTCTCTGAAAAAACCACGCCTTTATTACGTTGAATTTCTTTGTTAAAATTGGTAAGTGAGTGCTTTAGTCTCTTGACAACAGAATTGCGATCTCAAAATTGGAGGAAAACGACGAGTAGTTGAAAAAATGAAACCAATTGATGCGATATATCGCATGCCGTTCTGACACAAAATATGGCGTCCATCGAATCACCTTAAAGAGGTCCCGGAACTTCCGTATCAGCCGCGACGTGCATTTCACAGCCGTGACGCACAACGACGACGACGGCCGTCAGTTTCGGTTATAGTGCTTCCTTACGGTCCGACGTCCGACGAACGGGTGGACACCCGCTGGACGCTCCGTCGACTGCTCTACCGTGATGACAGTGTCTCCGTATCAGCTTCACTCTCAGGCTGAGGCCTTTAGCCTCGGTCTGAAAGTGAAGTTGAGTTGGAGGCTCTGTCGTCCGACCGAGCACTCGTCGGAGCGCCCGGCGCGCGGTCGTCCGCCCGGTCGGCGAACGTCGTTGATGTCCGACGAGCGGGTGGACACCCGCTGGACGCTCCGTCGACTGCTCTACCGTGATGACAGTGCCTCCGTATCAGCTTCTCTTTCAGGCTAAGGCCTTTAGCCTCGGTCTGAAAGTGAAGTTGAGTTGGAGGTTCTGTCGTCCGACCGAGCACTCGTCGGAGCGCCCGGCGCGCGGTCGTCCACCCGGTCGGCGGACGTCTTGTACCGTCTGGAGGCACTAGAGGAGCGATCTGCAGACACCACCCCGGCCGCACGTCTACCCCGGTGGATGGTTGCGGGCACCATGGAGGTGCCCTTTTACCCTTGGTCGGTGACCTCGGGATTGGCTCCCGATGCCCAGGCTGGGCATGGTTACCAGCCTTCTCTTCCTCTATTTCTTTCTTTCTTGACTGTTGGACTGATTGACTGATTTGTACGCTGATTGACTGATCTGCATGCGGGATTGACTGAGTTGTATGCTGATCGACTGATTAGCATGCGGGATTGACTGATTTGTATGCGGGATTGGCTGATTTGTATGCGGGATTGATTGAAGTTCTGCAAACCACGCGAACTCACTCTCAGTTCCGGTTCTCCATCCCTCTTCTGAGGCAACATTCACCCACTCAAGATCAAAATAAAAATTANAAAAAAAAAAAAAAAAAACACGGTGGAGTATTTGCAAGTGTCACGGATTTGCGTTTCAAGTACTTCAACTTTCTCATTCGTAAAATTTCGTGAAAAACACGATGGTGCCATTGGTTTTCTCTGAAATCAATTCCGAAGCTCTTAAATGCTCTCCGAGTTCAGTTTGTAATGGAGAGGATATCCCACGCAACGTTGAAAGTCCATTAATTCTACACCTAGTAAAATTTTCCATGCAAAGATAGGGAGCAAATACATAAGTAGGATTGCCGTGGTTCCAACTTCGGAGTCTCCAAACAAAGTGGCAAACCTGTTAACGTATTTGCTCCCTATCTTTGCATGGAAAATTTAACTGGATATGAAGGTAGACTCTGAGGGCAGTGTTGGACATCTCCTACATTACGGCCTCAACTTAGAGAGCTTTTTTTGAGCCTGGGAATCGATTTTAGAGAAAACCAGTGGTACCATCGTGTTTCGAGCGAAATATTACTTAGGAATAAGTACTTAAGTCGCAAATCCCTAACACATGCAAGAGCTCCATTTCTCAGGTGTTTCTACATTTCTCACTAATACTGTTTTCTACATGTTCTTCTATAGGAGTTTATTAAAGTAGCTGACCTTTCTTTAGTTAGTTTTTGAATAGTATACCTATCATTTTCTTTTCCGATTTTCTTCATCCAATTAATTAATATCTTCTGCTTTTCTCTCTCTAATTGATGCATGTTTCCTGCTTTTCTCTATCTAATTAATGCAAGTCTCCTGCTTTTCTCTATCTAATTAATGCATCTTTCCTTCTTTTCTCTATCTAATTAATGCATGTTTCCTGCTTTTCTCTATTTAATTAATGCATGTTTCCTTATTTTCTCTATCTAATTAATTAATATCTTCTGCTTTTCCCTATCTAATTAATAATATCTTCTGTTTTTCTCTATCTAATTAATTAATCTGCTCTGCTTTTTTCTATGTGAATACTATTCGAATTTTGTGCCATTCTGAATCCCTCCTTCCTTTCCCCCATTTCAAGATGATGGTCGTCGAATTTCAGCCATACCCGTGGGACTACAGCTACGCAACTTGCTGTTTTCCGTGAATGACGTCTTTGCCCGAGCTTCGCTAGATTGTTGCGTCAGTGTTTTCAAAGTCACAATTCATCCTATACATCTAACACACTTTTTTTACGGAAATTCAGATTCACAATGATGAAAACGCTTGTTTAGATCACAGGCCACAAGGTAAAGGAACGCCCCACCACCCTGCTTCAGATCACAGATAAGACTGAGAGAATGTGGGACATAAAGAACTGCAACATCCTCCCCCATCGTTCCTTCTGTCACACTAATAAAATTAAAATCTTCATGTTACATGCTCATTCTCGCGAAAGGAGTTGAAGGAAGAAATCAGAGAGTAGAAGCAGCAGAATGAGGACGCAATAAGCAGCAACAACAGTAGTCACAGTAGCTGCTAAAATTCCTTGATTTGAGAAAATTAGCAAACTGGCGATCGGACTCAAAAATTAGTAATGACAGCAGGAGAGGAAGAAGTTTTCGCAGTTCGTAGCAGACAGAGAAGAATCAGCAGCAGAATTATTAATAACAGCAGTAATTGCTGTTCTCTAACACAAGAATTATTTTTCTCAGCGTTACGACCAACTGTCACGGAAACTGTTGTTTTTGTTGCGAGTTATCTATCCAATTCTTATGAGTGCGAAAATCAGGGCTGCCGACTTGTGAGTAATTTAAGCATTGACGAGTTAAATGGGTGTAATTTTAGTAGTTAATCCGATGATTTGTGAATAATTCAAGAATGATTCTCCATCATAGTGTCTCTCGGTGTGATGAACGATCAATGAGGCGATGATCGATCCTAAAAGAATTGATATGTCGCGCGATTCACAAGAGTGATGAGTGAGTAAAATCGAGAAACTGTGATTAATATGTGAGTAAAATCGAGAAATTGTGAGTAATCTTTGGGTAAAATCGAGAAACTGTGAGTAATATGTGAGTAAAATCGAGGAACGGCGAGTAAAGAGTGAGTAATAGCAAGAACGGAGACTAAAGATGGAGATATGTGAGTAAAATCGAGAAATTGTGAGTAATCTTTGGGTAAAATCGAGAAACTGTGAGTAATATGTGAGTATAATCGAGGAACGGCGAGTAAAGAGTGAGTAAAAACAAGGATGGAGACTAAAGATGGAGATATGTGAGTAAAATCGAGAAATTGGGAGTAATCTTTGGGTGAAATCGAGAAACTGTGAGTAATATGTGAGTATAATCGAGGAACGGCGAGTAAAGAGTGAGTAAAAGCAAGAACGGAGACTAAAGATGGAGATATGTGAGTAAAATCGAGAAATTGGGAGTAATCTTTGGGTGAAATCGAGAAACTATGAGTAGTATGTGAGTAAAATCGAGGAACTGCGAGTAAAAGCAAGAACGGAGACTGTAGATGGAGGAAAATCGAGGACAGAGAGAAAAGTGGTCGCAAAATCGCGACACAGAGAGTAAAGAGGGAGTAAAATCGAGAAACTGTGAGTGATAAGTGAGTGAAATCGAGATACCTAGCTGAATCGTAGTGAGAAAAATTGAGAACGGTGAGTAGCAAGTGTGTAAAATGACTCCGGTGCGTAGAGGGTGAGTGAAGAATTCGCAAAACGTATGAGTATCGGCAGCCCTGATAAAGATAGAGATTCCAGGGTGAGTACTGACAATGAGTATTGATAAGTCGTTGAAAACCTGGAAAAGTCAGGAAAATTCGTCCAGCCCTGAAGAGTCAGTGATTTTCGCTGCGGGTTTTTGAAATTGGTTCTTCCCGTCGAAAAGTGAACAAATCATGGTCTGCACCGCACTTACACGCTCTGTGGACGAAGATCAAAACTTCGCCTGTAAGCTCTGGAATTTTAGATTTAAGAAAATATGCTTGCAGTCACAGTGACGGCACTTTTAAAAGTGTCCAGATGAAACCGGTTCTCCTCTTACTTTTCTCTTTTTTTTTTTTTTTTTTTTTTTTTTGAAGAATCTTGCATTTTGTAGGTATTCCTTGAAATAATTGTCGGATTCTCAGTCTTTTTTGACTAGGTAAATTTGAAGTTCAAACCACGAACTTGGAAGCCAATATTTTAGGTTTTCTCTCCCGTGATTACAGATTTTCGCTTTGTTGTCAAAATCTCCACGCCTAATAAATCGTCATTAAAGTAATAAAGGAATAATGCCACTAAGCCAAACGATAAATTAGTATTGATGCGGCTCACGACTTGCATCCAGGATAATGATTTCATGTCAATCAATCAAATTATGTTTTATCAAGTGCACGAAAATAAAGCAAATGACAGCTTTCTGAAACTAAAGTAAACAAATCAGTTATAACAATACATATAATTGTAAATATTACATCTGCATATGTACGTTACCATAATGGAAATGCATGTTCTTACCACATTCATAAAGTGTGGTTAGTTTTTCCCCGTTTTTCGTTTTTGATCATCCACAGGGAAAGCTCCTGGTTGTATTTCTGGTTTCAAGACACACCCTTTATTTTCATTATTATCATTTTATATTCATGATTTTTTGCTATCTTATCTCCATATCATGTACCATTGTAAACACCCCATCTGAGCAGAATTTAAGTAAGTTAAGCGTATATGACTCATTTCTCCGTGAATCCGTAAATTTTTTCAAATGTTTGGTATCAGGCCTACAACCTTTTTGTGGGCAAGTTTTTAGTGCGCAGTGCGGTTCCAGTGATAGTGTCCTTTGTGACAATGCTGCCAACTTACGAATTTCCCACTGGTCCTGTCGTGAGTGCTTTCAGCTTGGCGTCGGGCAATTGGATAACTCTCTTCTGGTATGTATCTAAACAGATTTCTCTTTCTAGTTTCTTGTCCTTAAATTGTACCTATTGTTCCTCTATACAGGGTTGCCACAGTCAGGGAAAATCAAGAAGTATCAGAGAATTTTAAAAAGCCAGGGAAAACCTGGAAATGTCAGGGAAAATGACGAAAATGTCGCGGGAAAATTGTCAAATCACCTTTATTCGCTTTCTAAAATGGGTTTGCTGTTTCAATAAACAAATATTGCCCGAAAACGATTTCTAATTATGTCTTTTGAACCATCTGGAATATATCCAACTGTCAGGGAATTTCACCGCAATGTGCCAGAGAAATCAGGGAAAAGTTAGGGAATTTTATTTTTTAGATTTGGTGGCAACCCTGTCTGTTAAGTTGCAGCACACATTGCGCAGTTGCGCTGGACACAAAATTGTTAAACTTTTCTGAATGGGCAAATTAAAAAACCACACATGTCCCCTTTTTGCGAATTTGGGTTATTGATGGACATTTACGCTTCAGGGGTAGGTGCGTGTAACCTCAAAATGTTGCGCCTCGTTGATAGCTCAAACTATCAACGTCCGATTCCGTGGCCAGCGCAACTGACCCGCATGCTGCCGTGCTAAAGAAAAACGCCGTATGAGCCACCAGACGTAGCCAAATTTCCCACGGAAAATCACGAATTTTCAGGAAAATTGGTGAATATTTCCCTTCCGATTTTTCATAGGGATTCGATCGTAATTTGATCTAAAAAGTCTGAAATTTTTAAAGAAAAATGTTCATAAATTTCTTCAAAAATAAATATCCTCTTAGAGTTAATTTGGCAACACGCGAATACTCATACGCCGTTTTTACTTAGCACGGCTGCATTTTTATCATTCCCATACTCCGCGTGATAAGGGAGCCGCTGAAAGGAGTCACTGAAACAAAAGGGCTTAACCACTGTTACGACGAGTCAGTCGTCGAGAGAGTAATGTCTGAGATTTCTTATACTCCGAACGATTATTTACATGGAAATCGGGGGCGGACTGGCCATGGGGGCGGGGAGGCGATCGCTCCCTAACAATTTGCCGCGGAGGTCCCGCGGAGTCGTCGTTTTTTTCCCGTAATGTTTTAATTTTCTTATCCTTGTCAATCACTAGAAGGCCCCGAATTCCTTGAAAATGTATCTCTAAGAAACATGGAAGGTCGCCAAAAGCATTTGTGATAAAGGGACCCCCGATGAATCCTGAGAATGGGTTATTTTGAAGTTCAAGTACTGTAGAATCCAACTCCAATAATGCCTACGTGTTTAAAAAGTGTGAAATTTTCTAAATTTAACGGGGGAAGGCCCCCGAACCTTCCTGGAGGGGCCCCCGAACGACAGGAGGGGCCCTTACATCTAAATCTCCTCCTAACTTTTCGACTACCAGTCCGCCCCTGTGTGCCGCTAACGCAGTTTTGACCGATAAGGCCGTGGTTTAAGGGCGCTAAAGCCAGGATTGTATTTCGCAAACAGATAATTTTTGAAGAATAATTAAAAATTAAGAAGCAGGGGTAATTTAACTAAATAATAAACGGAACTCAAGTCTACAGTATAATGCAAAACAATTTGAAAAATCTCGTCATGTAAATACAGAAGATTCGAAAACGCCTTCAATTAAAGCATGATAACTCACGCGTTCCGGAGAGTTCAAATAGTTGTATCCCTGCGCCTTAGCAGGGCGATGGATGTTTAATATTGAAGTAGCGTCCCCGCGGTATTTTTCGGTTTTCCTGTGCCGCTACTACAGTTTCAACCGTTCAGGCCGTAGTTTAAAGGCGCAAAAACCAGGATTGTATTTCGCTAAAAGAAAATTTCACCAGAATAATTAAAAAATAAGAAGCAGGAATAATTCAACTAAATAATAAAAGGATCTCAAATCGACAATAACATGAAAACGCATTTGGAAACTCTCGTCATGTACATACATTAGATTCGTAAACGCCTTCAATTGAAGCGTGATACCTCACGCGTTCCGGAGAGTTCAAATAGTTGTATCCCTGAGCCTTAGCAAGGAGATGGAAGCTAAACATTGAAGTAGCGTCCCCGCGTTGTTTTTCGAGTTTAGTGCCACTACTGTAGTTTCGACCGTTAAAGCCGTAGTTTAAAGGCGAAAAAACCAGGATTGTATTTCGCTAAAAGAAAATTTTACCAGAATAATTAAAACTTAAGAAGCAGGAATATTTAAACTAAATAATAAGAGGATCTCAATCCCGCAATTATATGCTAACGAATTTGGTAAGTCTCATCCTGTAAATACATAAGATTCGTAAACGCCTTCAATTGAAGCGTGATACCTAACGCGTTCCGCAGAGTTCATATAGTTGTATCCCTGCGCTTTAGCAAGGCGATGGATGTTTAATATTGAAGTAGCGTCCCCGTGGTGTTTTGCGGTTTTCCTGTGCCACTACTGTAGTTTCGACCGTTAAGGACGTAGTTTAAGGGAGAGGAAGCCAGGATTGTATTTCGCAAAAAGAAAATTTTACCATAATAATTAAAAATTAAGAAGCAGGAATATTTTAACTAGATAATAGAAGGAACTCCAATCTACAATATAATGCAAAACAATTTGGAAAGTCTAGTCATGTAAATACATAAGATTCATAAACGCCTTCAATTGAAGCGTGATACCTCACGCGTTCCGGAGAGTTCAAATAGTTGTATCCCTGCGCCTTAGGAAGGCGATAGAAGGGTTATATTGAAGTAACGTCCCCGCGTTGTTTTTCGGGTTTCCTGTGCCACTACTGTAGTTTCGACCGTTAAAGCCGTAGTTAAAGGCGCAAAAACCAGGATTGTATTTCAATAAAAGACAAGTTGGATTTTGCAATCGCTAGCGATAGCAATATTCGTCATGGGAACGTTAGCTTCTGGGATATGAAAATGTTAAGGTACAGTTCGTTTGTAGTATCTTCTGAATTGAAGGGGCTATGTAATTTTGTGTTGACATCTCTTTTTTAACATTTTTAATTATTTTCTTTGCATACAAGAAAGCTGTTATGTACCAATTATTTATTTTCGTTGAATTATATATGGTTTTCGGAAGTTAACGCATTTAAGTTTCAGGTTCGCTTTTTCGGCGTAAAGTATACGTAAGGTGTCCCAAAAGCACCGGGACTTGTTCTGTAACTTCGAAAGTAAGATAGATACAGACATGATCTTGATTTCATTTTAAAGATCAACTCAATACCTATCGATTAAAACCAAGATCAGCTCAATCGGATAAAAATTGACCGAGTTATGGCAATTTGAAATCAGCGAGGAAAGTTTACGCCTACGATTTTTAAGGAAGATTCTTCATCGCCGTAAATCGAAAAGTCGGCCGATAAAGTGATGCTTATTAGTGTATTTTCCGAAGGAAATACACTATTGCGTCTTGTGTTTTTTTATTTTCGAGGTGTCATTTATCAACATTTTGTACCATCAAACACAACAGTTGACAGTGCGTATTATTGCAAAGTAGTAAAGGAGTTGAGAATGCACATTTCCCGGAAACCGTCGGACTTGAAAGCTCCGTGGATACTCCATCAAAACAATGCGCAGCCTCACACATCGAGCTTAACACGTGAATTTATGAGTAAAAATGGAGTTGAAACAATCCCTCATCCCCCTTATAGCGCTGACTTGGCTCCATGTGATTTTTGGATGTTTCCCACGCTTAAAAAGGAGCTTCGCGGACGAAGATTCGTATCGAAGACCGAAATCCAGAATGCAATTCAAAACTTCTTCAACTCCATCCCAGAGGAATAATTCAGGAAAACAATGTTGGATAAGTGGCAAGAGCGCATGAAAAAGTGCATCCGGTTTGATGGACGGTACTTTGAAAAGCAAAATGAAGTTATGGAAGATTCGGAGGAAAGTGGATACGAATATTAACTTTTTAAATCCTGGTAAGCGAAAAATCTTCCTAAAAACCGTAGGGGTAAACTTTCCTCACTAATTTCAAATTGTCATAACTCGGTCAATTTTTATTCGATTGAGCTGATCTTGGTTTTAATCGATAGGTATTGAGTTGATCTTTAAAATGAGACCAAAATCATGTCTGTATCTATCTTAATTTTGAAGTTACAGAACCAGTCCCGGTACTTTTGGGACACCCTACGTATGATATTTCCACTCTACACATATGCTCGAATACGCATCATAAGGGACCTATGTGCTTCCTAATCTGCCAAGTATTAATTATTGTTAGATGATTGGTCTAAAACATTCAATACAACCAGTAAAAATTAACTGTCCCCTGCGAGATTCGAACCCCCGCTCGCACAAAAAGTGTCACTCTCCCAGAGGCAAAACGGTAACGCAGCCAGTTGAGCTATTTCGCTGTTCAGATATGCAACGAGAAAAAGAGAACACTTAAGTGATCTCGGACGCTGAGCGGGGCTTCACAAAAGACGTCCTTGAGATTTCAACGGTTCGGCCACTGGCGTGATAAGACACAACGGATCAACCGCATTACTCTGTGAGACATTGTTTACCTATGCTGTCATGTGTCACGAGGTTCATCTCACCATGGATTTGCGATCGCGGCAGTAAGCTGAGGCAATATTTCTGTATTCATGGATTAAATCCATCAATCGAGTTCTGATTTTGGCTCATATATCCGTAACGGGTCCTCCAGAGCAATTTTCCACCTTGTACGATGGTTATTATTTCTTTATATCTATGTTTAAAATTTGAGGTGGGATAATGGCGGCTTCTCAAGAGCAACGAGGTAGGCGATCTTTTGCACCAACGAACAGAAAACTGATGGCGAAAAATAACCAATCAGAACCTCCCAAAAAAAAGAATTTGCCTAAAAACGGAACTTCGTGGTTCTGCGCAGATTTACCAGTCAGACACGACATCTCCAGGTGGCAAAAAACTCGCTGAAAGCGAATTTTAGCAATCAACACAACTTGACGTAGAGACATGATTGGCTAAAAAATACAACGGTTTTTGATACATCGGAAAATCAACCAAAAATCGGAGACTGGGCGAAACGCTCAAGGTCGCAGAGGT